AGGCTCTATGCAGGGAGCCTGATAGGGACTCAATCCCAGGACCCCAGGATCATGACCTGAGCGAAAGGCAAATGCTCAACCACTGAGCCACCCAGGCACCCCGCACCTGAGTCCTATTAAGGGAAGGGGAGAAAGGGCCTTGTCTTGCCAGACTCGTAGGGGATGCAGGGAGCAGGTTGCCTGAGAGCTCTTTGTAACAAACCCTAGAGCAGAGAAAGACTGGGCTTGTGTACCCTCTGGTAGGGATCTGAGTGAATTTGAATTTGTCATCACCCTAAACACCTTTGTGTATTATGTCACTGTCCCAGATAAAGAATTTATCAGAGTAATCAGAGCCAAAAAAAGATAGGGCAGTCCCAAGCTTTCAACATGAGGTACACACACACACAGACACACACACACACACACACACACACACACACACACACTATCCAGGCTAGTGGTTTTAAAACTGTGTTCCCTGTAGTTTGCTCCTGGGAAATACTCCAAGAGGGGTGGGGAGGCTGACTGAGCCCTACTCCAAGTCCTTCATTCTGATTCAACCAGAGCACTTTGAATTTTCGTCTTTTTTGTGTGTTTTGGGATTCTACGTAAGATTTAATTTGTAAAGGAGCTTTTACTACATGTAAACAACATGAAGATGCAGTCAGCAAAATCCAAAATATGGAAGACACTGTTGAATAAACAACTTGGTTTTGGAGCACCTGGGTGGCTCAGTGATTGAGCGTCCTCCAGTGCAGGTCCTGATCCTGGGGTCCTGGGATCGAGTTCCACACCAGATTCCCCACAGGGAGCCTGCTTCTCTGTCTGTGTCTCTGCCTCTCTCTGTGTGCCTCTCGGGTATAAATAAATAAAATCTTAAAAAAAAAAACAACTTGGTTTCTTCAACAAATAAGTCACACACAAAAAAAAGGAGGATGAACCTATGAAATAAAAGACATTTAAGAGCCATATCAACCAAATTCAATGTGTGGACCTTGTTTTAGATTATATCAATGTATGACACAGTTGGGAAAATGTTAACACTGGCTGGATATTTGTTGATACTAAGGAGTTATTATTTATTTTTGGTTGTGATCATGGTATTATAGTTATGTTAATACACTCCCTTTAGAGGTGAGTACTGAATTAAATGATACAATGTCTAACATGTTTGAAAATCATCCAGTACAAGAGGTGTAGGGAACGGAAGTGGGTAGGGAGGCATAGATGGAGCAAGAGTATGTTGATAATTATTGATGCTGGGTGACAGGTGCATAGAGGTTCATTGTATTATCCTTTCTCCCTTTTTAAGTGTTTGAACATTTCCACAGACACAAAAAAAGTTTTTTTTTTTAAAAAAATAAGCTAAAGGGGACTATAGAAATAAGATTTGGAATTATAACCTATTTATTTATTTATTTATTTATTTATTTATTTATTTATTTTAAAGATTTTATTTATTCATGGGAGACACACAGAGAGAGGCAGAGACAGGCAGAGGGAGAAGTAGACTCCCTGCAGGGAGCCTGATGCAGGACTCGATCCCAGAACCCAGGGATCCCACCCTGAGCCAAAGGCAGATGCTCAATCATTGAGCCACCCAGGTGTCCCACTTTATTTTTTAAAGTAACAGATTTATCGAGATATGATTCACATGCCATATAATTCGCCAAGTTAAACTGTACAATTCAGTGGTTTTTAGTATATTCACAGAATTGTACAACCATCACCTGATCAGATTTAGAAGATTTTCATCACTCCTCAAAGAAACCTGGAATCCATTGGCGATCACTCCCCATTCCCCCGGTCCTGATAGCCCCAGGCAGCCACTTACCTACTTTCTGATTCTCCAGTCCATCCATTCGGAACATTTCACACAAATGGAATCAGACAATATGCGGTCCTTTGTGCCTGGCTTCTTCCACCTTAAGATAAAGTTTTCAAATATAACCTTGTCTTAAACTTTTCTGGCCTGGATAAGAAAGAGCCACCTTGTAAGTTTATTATTCTGTCTATGGATTTTTAAATACAGACCCTTGGAAGAGGTTTAAACAAACTTAGTGCAGGGAATCTGACTGAAAAGAAAGAAAGAAAGAAAGAAAGAAAGAAAGAAAGAAAGAAAGAAAGAAAGAAAGGTAAAGGCTAAGAACCCCTTCTCTAGTCCAGACTCCTCACACTGCATTCAAGGAATGATCCAGGAGAGGGAAGTGACTTATACAAATGGTCCTAGCAGCTTGTTAAGGGCAGAGCAGGGTCCAACATCCACACCTGCTGAACTTTGGCTCCATCCTCTGTTCAGGTTGCCACGCTGCCTTCTGACCTAACACTCACACACATCACTTTCTCCACCACAACTCCTAATCACATGACTCATAAAATCTCTTTGGACACATCTTGAGCATCAGCCATGATGGGGGCTGCTTTGTCTCCCAACTCAGGCTTTCTGCTGCCCTGCCCTGAGATGCAGCCCCAGGGAAGAAGAACCAGTGTTAGCACCTGCTCCAGAACTTCTATCTCAGAGGAGCTCAGGAATAGCAATCTTGTTAGAAGCCAAAGGAAGCTGTTGGAATAGCAGGACCAGTTTCTTTGGAGTGGCTGGTGGAGAGAGTTTATGGGGGGGAGGCTGGTGGGAACACGGGAGAGAGAGAGGACTAAAGCCTTTGGGGCTGCCATTGGAGGGAACCAAGTTAAAGGTTAAAAGGATGTATAGGAACCCCACGGAGCCCTCCAGAACGGAGTCCAGATAAGACTGAAGGTGAAGAAGAGGAGGAAAAGGTCAGGCTGAGGGAAAGGACTCCAGGTTGAGGCAGTCTATGATCATACAGCTGTTCCTGGAACTCTCCCAAACCGTGCGTATGGGCAGTTTGGAGAGGCTGTCAGCCTGCTGACAAAGGACAAGAAGAGGACAAACTCTACAGAGAGAATATCATCTGAAGGCTGAGCATGAGGCCTCAGGGATGAAGTGGGAAAAAAACTTCCAGAAAGCCTGGGAGTAGAGGCTATGATAGCACCAGGATAACTCTTAACTACTCTGGAGGTTCCCTTAGGTGATCCTTGATCCCTGAAAGGGGCACCTCAGGAGATGGGTAGAGGACCGTGGACTTAGTCCCAGAGCCCTCAGCCAAGTAACTTGGACTTGGAGGCCACAGGATTTGATCAGAGGCACACGAGCTGGGCGATAGTCTCAAAATACCTTCCATTGTCCTGTCTATAGTGAGCACTGGGAATCTCATTCTTAGAGGCCTGTCCCTTTGGGTCTGGGAAAGGTTTTTTAATTAATTAATTAATTAATTAGTTAGTTAGTTAGTTAGTTTGTTTGTTTAGAGCACAGGCAGGGGGAGCTGCAGTGGAAGAAGGAGAAGCAGGGGATCCCTGGGTGGCGCAGCGGTTTGGCGCCTGCCTTTGGCCCAGGGCACGATCCTGGAGACCTGGGATCGATTCCCACATCGGGCTCCCGGTGCATGGAGCCTGCTTCTCCCTCTGCCTATGTCTCTGCCTCTCTCTCTCTCTCTGTGACTATCATAAATAAATTAAAAAAAAAAAAAGGAGAAGCAGGCTCCCCACTGAGCAGGGAGCCTGATGTGGGGCTCAATCCCAGAATTCCGAGATCATGACCTGAGCTGAAGGCAGACGCCCAACCCATTGAACCACCCAGGCATCCCCTGGGAAAGGTTTTTAAACATCCTTTATATCAAGGGAAATATCCCTGGCTGGGGCCGCAATGAAGGTAAAGCTCGGATGGGAGAAGACCCAGGGCATGCTCCAGACGCGCGGAGTTTGACAAGGAGAAGAGACCTAAAGATAAACTCTGGGGTGCTCTCATTTTTGCCCCAAATCAGCTTTACTCCAATCCCTGATCCCCAGGAGGCCTGATTTAGGCTGTCTTCGCTCCTGAACAATCAGTGGGCTATTCAAGCTGTGTATATCCCATGGCTCTGTCTACTGGAGAGGCTCCTTAACATGCAAGGGCTCTGAGGGACAGGGCTGGGCGGCAGTTACGTAGCTCCTCTCAACCTTGGGTTGCCCTCCAGCCTGCTAGTCCCAAAAGTCCCAGGCCCAGTCTTCCAGTCTGGACTTTAACCAGGTGACACACAGAGTGTGTTGGTATTAGTAGGTATCGGCCTGGAACTGGACCTGTGCCTGATTCATCCAGGAAGCTGAACCCAGTCAGCAGAACAAACACCCTTAAGCAGCTCCTGCCAGGCAGGGGGTGAGAAGTTATCTGGCCAAACAGACAGGGACTTTGTTTGCTCTGTTCTCCTTTTTCTCTCATCCCCAGTTGCCAACTCACTCGTTCCTTTCTCTCTGCCCATCTCTGGGTCAGGAACTCTGTGGGTTTTTTCCAGATGATGCAAGAAGACTCTATCTATCTATCTATCTATCTATCTATCTATCTATCTATCATCTACTATCTATCTATCTATCTATCATCTATCATCTATCTATCGTCAATCTATCTATCTAGGTGAAGGTGATTCCAGACTTGGGTGTTAAAAGAGGCACATCAGGGGCTGATAAGGGGGTACCGCAGGAGTCCCTGGGAGAGGAAGCCAGAAGTGGTTTGGATGAAGATTAGATGGAACAAAGGGGTCAGAGATCTAGGGGGCCACCCTGCCACCCCACCCCGGGTGCCACCTGTCTATGGTTGAGGCAGAGCCTGCCTTTCTCTTGGGACAACGCCAGCTTGACCTCATTTTCTGTCTTCGTGGCCAGTTTGCTTTTGACACTAATTGATGGACACTCGAGACCATTAATTTTGCTTCACGTCCCCTCCCCCCTTCCTCATACAAATGCAAACAGCGTGGGAATCCCCTTGCAGAGGAAGCAACGGTGCGGCTTTAAGAGAAAGGGAGGGGGGGACGAGGGCACTGACTCAGATTCTCCTCCCATTGGCTGCTGGAGGGGATCCCACCTCGGGGATTGGCCGTGGCAGAGCCCGCCTCCTCTTGTGATTGGCTCATCCGGGGCTATATAGGGCGGCCGTGCCGGCCCCCTTTTCATTTTGGAGGGAGGCGAGGCGGCCGGCTGGGTCTCCGCGCCGAGACGCGCCTGGCGCAGCCCTCTCGTCTCTGAACCCGAGTGCGAGTCGTGCGGAGGCGACAGCCATGAAGGAGAGACGGGCCCCGCAGCCAGTCGTGGCCAGATGTAAGCTCGTCCTGGTGGGGGATGTGCAGTGCGGGAAGACGGCGATGTTACAGGTGTTAGCGAAGGACTGCTACCCCGAGGTGAGCCGCCCGCCCCCCGGCCCCCCGGCCCTCGCCGGCCGGCCGCCTGCGTGCTCCCCGGGGCCAGACCCCACCCGCCCAGGGGCGCGACCCCGACCCCGGCCCGCCGCCCCCAGCCGCCCCGCCCCCAGCCGCCCGCTGCAGGACCGCCCTGCCTCCGCCTCCCCTGAGACCTGTTCCACTTGTGCCGCCCCGCCGGCTCCTCGGCTCCTCGTCACCTCTTCACCCGTAGGCCCCGATCACATGCCCCCCCCCCCCCGAGTCCGCTCCCGGGAGAGGGACCTGGAGGCACTTGAGAGTCTGGGGTGTCTTCTTGACGTAATACCTGCCGGTCTCCTCCTCGCATCCTCAGAGGTTCTGCAGGCGGGCTTCTGCCCTGCGGGGCCGGGCGGCGGGAGGACGTGCGGAGCTAGAATTGGCTTGTGGCTCTAAAACTGGGGGGAGTCTGGGGACGACAGCAATCTGTGTGTTTGCCTCCCTGACCACCCACCTAGGGATCTGGAGGCTGGGGGGCTTGCACCCCGCACCTGGCTGGAAGTCGCTCAGATTTCTTTTTGCCTTGGAGCAAAGTGTCTGTGCCTCTCCTCTCCCCTCCTTCCCATGTGGCCCCTCCTGCCCCCAGGTATCACCCCCCTTCCCTGCCCCTTAGCTGCTTGCACTTCGGGGCCTCACTAGGGTGGGTGGCCCCTGGTGCAGCCGGCACTACCCAGAGGGTTAGGGGAGTAGGTTTGCTCAGAGAGTGACTAGCCCCTCTCTCTTCACAGACATATGTGCCCACCGTGTTTGAGAATTACACTGCCTGCTTGGAGACAGAGGAACAAAGGGTGGAGCTCAGTCTCTGGGACACCTCCGGTAAGGCTCCTGGCCCCAGATGCCCCCTTCCCGCCCCCACTGATCTGCTCCAGCTGCTGTCTTTAAGAGATTGTTTCCCTCTTTGATGGGGAGCAGCGTGTATGGCGCTGGCCAGGTAACCGACAGAAGGGGACCTGAAGATTCCTTGGTTGGCGGGTCTGGGGGTGCAGAGCAGATGAGCCCCAAGAAGCCACTTCTCTGGCTCTGGCCCCTTCTTTCAGAGGGCTGGGGTGGTGAGGTGTATGGACCCATGAATACAACTGGGGGACAGGCTTCTCTGTTTCCACTCCCTGCCTCTGTATCCCCCCCACCCCACCCACCCCGCCTTTACTGCCCCAGAGCAAAGCTAAATTAAGAGGCAGGAGTCGTCGGTGCTGCTGGAGGCAGTTGTGGTTAAGGCCCCGAGACAAGCCTGCTTTGGGGAAATACTGCTCCTGCCTCAGTTTTCTCTCCTGCATTCCATCTTGGGTCACTGCTGTCCGCCTGCCGCAGCTCCGTTCCACTTGTCATACCGCTGCGGCTCAGGGATGAAGCGATGCATCATCGATGTTTTGGAGGGTGGGGGAGATGGCTTTAATATGGGGCACAGTCTCATTGTAGATAGTGGCGGGGGTGGTGGTGGTGACAGTCACCCACCCCCACCCCACCCCACCATACCGGGCTGAGGTAGGAGATGCCTGGTCTTTCTGGAATGTAGAAAGCAATATTTTCCCTCTCAATCCTAAACCCTCAGTGCAAGGCTGTCTGTCCTTTGCTTTGATTCTGATCCCTTCCCATGATCTCTTTTACCCCAGTTCTTTTTTAGTAGACTGGGCTCAGAGTCATAATTAAGGACTAGGAGCCAGGCATAACAGAAAGAAAAGAAAATCCACCCTCCAAAAATGCAATATTCAGGCTGAGTTTAAAGAGGAACTGTGTAAATCACTAGGGGCTTCCTGTTACATATAATAAATATGCCATCCTACTCCTCCAAGAGCTGTTGTTCCCGTGATCTAATTTCTGAGGTCTGAAAAGATTAGGGGTAAGGGGTAGATAAACAGAAAATAAGACTTCCCCTTGCTTTCCCCCTCCCCCAAACAAAGCAAAACAAAAATTCCTCCACCTGGTGCGCCTTCCTCCGTTGCAGTTCCAGGGCTTGGGAGGCAGGGTTCTGGCTATCCTGGACTGTGCTATGCTGGCTGGATCCGACTGGAATGCAGCTCGGCTGCATGATGTATGGGATTTTGTCTGTCCTCACCCTGCCCACCTCTCAGTCTTCCCAGAATCTTACTGCAGCTCATCTCTTTTTACTACCACTGCCCCAAAGTGCCCCCCAGCCACCCCCGCGTCAGACTGCAGCCCTTGAATCCCCTTCCAGATAATGGAAAGTCAGCAAAGTGGTGTCTGTTCCCTGCATCACATCCCCACCCCCCCAATTTCAGAAAGGATGCAGGTTACCAGTCATCCTCAAACTCCTTTCAAATTAGGTGCCCACAAAGAAGGAAGGAGTGGTAGGGGTGTGTGGGATGGGGCTTCCCGACACTGGGGCCAGGGTTGAACCTGTTCCCATTATTCACTTGCTGGTCTTAGGGGAGGGGGATCGCCTGAAGCCAGAATGGAGGCCTCTTGCCCTCCCCACCTCTCCCCTCCTGTCTCCTCTCCTCCCTTCTCCTCCCCTCCCCTCCCCCTTCCTCAGTGCTGCAGTGCTCCCTTCGCTCAGTGCTCAGTGCTGCCTTTCTAAGACCCCACCTCAGAGAGGGGATGGGGGTGGATTGCCTAAGGGGCAGACAGTTATCACAACTCCTCTTTACTCTTTTTTTTTTTTACAACCAACCCCCACCCCAGCTTGGATTCCCCCCAGTTTCCATGGCGATTGCGGTGCAGGGAGAGGGGCTGCTTGCTATTCTGAGCACGGATTGTCTGGGTTCCAAATCTGCTACTGTTCCTTCCCCAGGGTGGAGGGGGGGAGGCTGAGCCCCTAGCATTCTCCCATACTGGACCACCTGGGTCTGCATTGCCTGCTGCCCTCCCAGTGGAAGGACCCTTGCCCGAGCCTCCAAATCCCTAGCTATTGGTGCTGCTCTCTTTGAAACTGCCTCCCTGAGATCTTGGGGGATAGGGGCTGCAGCTTTTTGTGGGGAGAAAGAGTAAGGCACTGGATCCGTGATGTTCCTCCTCCCCTCCGCCAGCCTCCTAGAGTTCTGACCCCATGGCAAAGAAGCAGGGCAGCCAGTTATGTAACAGGCAGGTTTGTTTCTTCTTGGAGAGACCCTGGAGCAGAAGCAGGGAGCAGAGGTTGGGCAGCAGGCAGACTCTAGAAAAGAGACCTGAAACAAGCCCTGGTCTCTCTGCAGGGGTGGGAGTTTCCTCCTCTGGGACTCAGAAAACTGGTAGACCTTAAATTAAGTGCACCGTAGGAGACCCAGACAGGGCCAAATGATATTCTACTCCTCCCCCTCCCCCACCTTTTATTTCCCCTTTCCCTTTTTCAGGACTAAGGAAGATGGTATTTTTGTACTGCTTTCTGGAAAGTGGTCAGGTCCCAAGCTTCTAGGCTGCAGCATGTTCCCCTGGGAGATGGGTGCGGCCAACTCACCTAAGGACCGAGAGTGGTATTCCCAGGGCTCTGTGGGCTTAGGCCCATGGCGAAGGGCAAATGCCATGACTCACCATCAGCTCTTTCTCCCACATACCAGGATCTCCCTACTATGACAATGTCCGTCCACTCTGCTACAGCGACTCAGATGCAGTATTGCTATGCTTTGATATCAGCCGACCGGAGACCGTGGATAGTGCACTCAAGAAGGTCAGTGTGGATAACTGTGCCATCTCTAGCTCAGCTTGAGACCAAAAAAGGAATCTCAGGGGCCTTGTTGCCTAATCCCCTCATCTGTAACATGAGGAAACTGAGGCCAGGGAAGGAAGAGATTTGCCTGAGACCATACTGTTAGCTACAGCTCTGGGACGAGAACCCAGATCGTGCCCCCCATGCCTCTTGCCCTCTCCCTATCCTGCTCTGCCAGAGGCCCAGCAAGGAAGGGTGGTATTGAAGACTCAGGAAGTGAAGGATCGAGAGGGAGAACCTTTCAGTGACAGAGTCTGAAGGTTGGAGATGGGGTCTTGTGAAGGCAGCTTCTCTGGAACTTGATCACAGGCCCATCAGGACTGGGCAAGCCAGGCAGACCCTTGCAGAAATGCTGAGAGCAAATGCCTGGTTTGGGTGGCAAAGTCTGCCCGTACTGAAGAGTCTCAGAATACCTTGTGGAAGTAGTTTCCTAGAATACTTTGGGATTATCTCATTTTCTTGGGAAGAGACTGGTTGGCTTCCTCCCTATTCCTCCTGGCTTCCTGGAAGCCTTTTCACTGGGTGGAGGGGGCAGATCCACGTCCCACATGCTTGGCAGAGAGAGGGGAGGAGATTTTGCTCCTGGGCTTCCTTTGGTCAACTGGGCTGTTGAATAAGGGGACAGGCTCTCAGGTCAGTACTCCTGTGGCCCCAAAGGCCTCATGGGCAGGAAGATGATGTAATTCATGCGTCGGTGACGCCATGTGACTCAGGGAGGGCTGGGCTTGTGATAAGCTGGATGGCGTGTATGATGTTGCCAGCTGGGCTTCTCCAGGTACCTGTTAGCCACTGACTCTTCTTCCTTCTTCCTTCCCTTTTACATGGCTCTGCAGTGGAGGACAGAAATCCTAGATTATTGTCCTAGCACACGTGTTTTGCTTATTGGCTGTAAGACAGACCTGCGGACAGACCTGAGCACGCTAATGGAGCTGTCCCACCAGAAACAGGCACCTATCTCCTATGAGCAGGTGTGTGTGTGTGTGTGTGTGTGTGTGTGTGTGTGTGTGTAGACACACATATGTGTATTAAGGGTAGGGTGGGGAACGGTATAGACAAAGGACTGGACATGTGGCCCTTGCTCAAACTCTCACTATGGCAAGGGAGAATTGGTATTCTGGGGGGCTATCTCTAATCAGCAAACCAGGCATCTCGATAGGGGCGGGAGGCAACTGTTTACCCAGTTTATGCTGTAGGTTGGCAGGTGAGCCATTCCTGTGTGCACCAGGATTTCTCAGATTGTTTTTTGTTGACCACTGGCATTAGAATCACTAGAGGTACTTGTTAGAATTCCTGACTCCATACCTAGAGAGTCACTTGGGAGAAAAATACAGAAATTGTGTTTTTAATGAAATTCTGGGATAATCTCTTTTGCACATGGGAACGTATGGATTTTTTTTTAAGATTTTATTTATTTATTCATGAGAGATACAGAGAGAGAGGCAGGGACACAGGCAGAGAGAGAAGCAGGCTCCATGCAGAGAGCCTGATGTGGGACTCAATCCCAGAACTCCAGGATCACACTCTGAGCCGGAGGCAGATGCTCAACCACTGAGGCCCCCAGGCATCCTGTATGGGTCATTTCTTTTAAGCCGGTGGTTCATGTTAGAAGCACCCAAGTAGCTCTTAAAAATATGAATGCCTCCCCACAGAAAGGCTGATTTACTTGGTCTGGCATCAGTATTGTTTTAAAAGTGCTACAGGTGGGATCCCTGGGTGGCGCAGCGGTTTGGCACCTGCCTTTGGCCCAGGGCGCGATCCTGGAGACCCGGGATCGAATCCCACGTCGGGCTCCCGGTGCATGGAGCCTGCTTCTCCCTCTGCCTGTGTCTCTGCCTCTCTCTCTGTGTGTGACTATCATAAATAAATAAAAAAAAAATTTTAAAAAAAAGTGCTACAGGTGATACTAAGGTGCATGTGGGCTTCACCTTCAGCAAATTGTCAGCAGAGGGGGTGGTGGGAGACTGGGCCACGGGTCCCATCTGGAGTAGCCCTGGGGAGTGCCACTGGGCATAGAAGGCAGTGTCTCAGAGCCACCGGGGACAACCACATTGATGACTTCACTCCCTCTGCAGGGTTGTGCCATAGCCAAGCAGCTGGGTGCAGAAATCTACCTGGAAGGCTCGGCTTTCACCTCAGAAAAGAGTATCCACAGCATCTTCCGGACGGCATCAATGGTGTGTCTGAACAAACCCAGCCCAGTGCCCCCAAAGAGCCCTGTCCGAAGCCTCTCCAAGCGATTGCTTCACCTCCCCAGTCGCTCCGAACTCATCTCTTCTACCTTCAAGAAGGAAAAGGCCAAAAGCTGTTCCATTATGTGAAGTGGGGGTTAGAGAAGGGAGGCAACCTCCCACTTCCTCCCTTGGGTTGCAGAGGCACAGGGAGAGGGAGGATGGGACAATTTAGGACACTGGACATGTGTTTTTCAGATGGCCATGGTGAGGGCTTGGAAGGAGACAGGAATGGGACGAGGAAAGAGCCAGGCCCGGCTTGAGGACCTGACACTGAGAAAGAACCATCACACCCCAAGCCAGGCACTAGGTTGTGGTGGGGGCGGCTGCCCCAGTGTCTCCCCCCCCGCCCCCGCTCCAGAGGAAGGAAAGGTGTGGGGGCGTGGGGGGCATGCTGGCCTCATGGGCTTGGGGGCCTACGGGAGCCTCACCTTCAGCATCATGCCTCTTCCACACAGCGCTTCCATGTGGGCCAGGGGATGGGAGGGGTCCCCGAGCCCTTCCCTTCCCCTCTGAGGAAGCCGCAGAGCAGTGGAGTGGGGAAGCCAAGAGGCAGCTCCCTTGGGAGCAGAGCCCAGGTGCTTCATAACTGAAATCAGAAGGGCAGGAGCTGGTCAGAGCCCATGAGAAGGAAACCTCATCTTCGCATAGCCCATGCCTCATGGAGAGGTGACATCATACATCCATATGCTTCTCACCTAAGTCCCCAGGGTCCGAGGGAGAAGCCTCCAGACCCCCTTCTCTTGCAGTGTGGGGGTGGTGGTGCTGCAGGGGGCAGGGCTGGGTGGGGGTCACCAGACTTTTTCTGCCCTTAGGGCAGTATAGCTGGCATTTGTTTTATAGACTCTTGTCTTTGGAATTGGGGGGAGGGGGGGAGCGTTTCAATCTGTTATATGTTCTGTGTTTAAAGAAGAAAAACCTATTTATTAATGAAAAATATAACACATATAAAGGAGTTGGCTCTGTTTTCTTAGTTTCTTTCTTGATTTCCTTTGTCTGGTCTTTGATAATGAGGAAGAAGCTATCCTGGGGCCCTTTCTGTGGGTTGCAGAGTGGCCGCCTCCACTGTTTCCTCACGTTTCTAACAAGGGTCTCCCTTTCCCCCGACCTACTACATCCCCCAAATCCTACCCAAGTCCAAAAGCCAATGAAGAGCTCGTTAGCCCCAGGGCAGGGTTCTTCAACCTTGGAACTAATGGCATTTTACACTAGATAATGCTTTGTTGCTGGGGCTATCTTGTGCATTGGAGGATGTTTAGGAACACTCTTGACCTCCACCTGCTAGATGACAGTAGCCTCCCACCTCCCTCCCTGTTCTCACAACCAAAATGTCTCCAGATATTGCTAAATGTCCTCAGGGGCAAAATCACTCTTAGTTGAGAACCATTGCCCTAGATAGTCTAGAGGAGTGAGAGAGACAAGGTTTGGCGAAATCATCAGTAGAGGATCCAAGCCACTGAGATTCTAAACCCTGCAGAAGGTGGGATAGACTGAAGCCAAGGTTGGGGGGAGGTTCCCTGGGTTCTGGTTTCCTCTGACTTCAAGGAGAGGTAAGGTCTTTCACTTTCTTGATGCCCCTCCCAGCCGCCAGTTCCATTGCCTGTTGATGGCAGCTCAGGGGCCTTAACATCCCTTCCTTTCAGTGACTTACAGCTCTTTTTTTCCGAGTTTCATAGTGTGCTGGAAATAAAGTTACTTTGTATGTATTGAGCACTTACTGTGTGCTCAGCCCCTTGTTGAGAGCTTTCCCTACATTCTCATATTTAACCTTATAATAGCTAACATTTGTTATATGTTTACTATGTATGGGTCAGGGGGCACTTATGAGTTCTTTCTATATTACTTAATCCTGTGATAACCCTATGAGGTACTTTACCTCCTTTTACAGACAAGGAAACTGAGGTTCAGAGAAGTTAGTTAATGTGCCCAAGGCCACACAATTAGAAAGTGATAGAACCTGGAGACAAATCCACCAGGCAGACTCCAGAATATGCACTTTTTTTTTTGTATTGCTCTCCTATTCTGTGAGGCAAGAAATGTCATTATCCCTATTTTATAAATGAAGAAATAGAGAAGTCAGAGATGCTGTATAACTTGCCCAAGATCATACTGCTAGTAAGTAATGGAGTCATAGTTCAACTGGGTCTGGTCTCAATGTTGTTAGCCATGTTGTAAAAGCTGAATAGGAGACTCTACCTACAGTCCTTACTAGAATGTAGTTCCTCTGTCTCCATCTCCAGAGATGCATGTTTGTGAAAGAACTCGCAGGGCAGGACAAAGTGTATGAGTGTCCTTTAAGCACAGCGTCTTATGTGTGTCGTGAGAAAGCTGTGCACAAAGAGTAGGGGTGTCTACCACTGTGAACTTGAACAAACTGCATCACCTTCCTGGGTCTCAATGGACTTATCTGTAAAGAAGAATTGTAGCCTGGAAATAGGGGGAAAGCATGGATGCCCAATTTAAATGAACCTAGAGTTGAATTCTGGTTTCATCCTTTTAACTATATTGCCATTGGAGGCATAATCAATAAAACGGTGATAATACCCACCTCATTTGAGTGTTATAAGAAATAAGTAAGTAGGGGATCCCTGGGTGGCTCAGCGGTTTGGTGCCTGCCTTCAGCCCAGGCCATGGTCCTGGAGTCCTGGGATCGAGTCCCACGTGGGGCTCCCTGCATGGAGCCTGCTTCTCCCTCTGCCTGTCTCTCTCTCTCTCTCTCTCTCATGAATAAGTAAATAACAAGTAATTAAAATCTTAAAAAAAAAGAAAGAAAGAAAGAAGTAAGTAGGGATGCCTGGGTGGCTCAGCGACTGAGCACCTGCCTTCAGTCCAGGGTGTGATCCTGGAGTCCTGGGATCGAGTCCCACGTCCGGCTCCTTGCATGGAACCTGCTTCTCTCTCTGCCTATGTCTCTGCCTCTTTCTCTTTGTGTCTCTCATGAATGCATAAATATTATCTTTTAAAAAAGAAACAAGTAAGTAATACAAGTTAAATGTTCAGCACAGAGTTGGGCGCTTGGATTCTCAGTAAATACCACAGCGGCTGCTCTTCATGTGTACGCCTTTGGTCTGATCCTTGAAGTTCCATTCTGTGAGTGCAGCGCCCTCTAGTGTTCACTGCGTGAGTTACATCTCGTAGATCTCAGACCTCCTTCCCCTTCAGATCTTTCTAATAAAATAAAACATTTAGTTAAATCATAAAAGTATAGGAGATAGAAATTCTAATTGGAGCTATCTAGGGTAAATGTGGGCAAGTCGAAGTCTGTAGTGTTCTAAGAGCAGAAGCCCATCTCTCCTGGGGTTACTTTGGGCTATTGTGTGTGATGTTCAGGATTATTTGGGTCTATCCTCAGGCTCTGTTTGAAGAGAACTGAACATACAATCAGAGGGAGAAGCCAGCCCTACAGCCACGTGGTATTGAAACCCAAAAGCTGCCAATGGGAAGATGATAAGGGAGAGGGCGTTTAGACACTTCCTGGTATCTACCTAAACCTTGCAAAGTTTAGGGTTTGTTTGTTTGTTAAGATTTTATTTATTTATGAGACACACACACAGAGGCAGAGACACAGGCAGAGACACAGGCAGGGGGAGAAGCAGGTTCCATGCAGGGAGCCCCATGTGGGACTCCATCCTGGGCCTCCAGGATCACACCCTGGGCTGCAAAGTGGCGCTAAACCGCTGAGCCACCGGGGCTGCCCAAGGTCTGGGGTTTTTTGGGGTCTGGGGTGGGGCTGGTGAATGATGAACCATAAGATCAAAGAGAAACCAAGTAAACATACAATTTGGGGTAGAGAAGGCTCAGTGGATGACAAGGAGTTTGGGGGGGTGACTAGGAGGAGGAAAGAAGCAAAATTAGGAAGGCAGCCCAATACCTGGCCAAAATCCCAAGGGCAAGAAAATAAGGAAGCCAGGATCCTATTTGGAATGTCGAGAAAACAGGTGCCACAGCCCAGGTGATACCATCCTTGCAGGAAGAACTCCGTAATCCGCGTATGGGCTCATTTTGAGTTGGCACAGTAGCTGGGGGTTGTTCCTGCGGGACCAACGTTGCTAAAACGTCCTCCTGAATCTGGGATAGTCCCACGCAATCCATTGTCCCACCCTCATTGTGAAATACTAGGCTACTCCTGTAACCGAGCCTTTAGTTTGCCTACCTGTAAAATGGACTTAAATCTATCTCGGATTTTTTTTTTTTTTTTTTTTTGCAAAAGTCCTTTTCCACAAACGGCACAGTATGTGTTGTTATTGCAGTCGTTAGTTACAATTAAGCGCTCTCGCTATCTAAGGAAGCCCCCGAATTCCTTCTAGGAGCACCGCGCGGCGAGAGCACCTTGGGCTTGGAAGCACACCCCCAGAAAACCGAGTCCCTCAGGCTCAGATGTTTGGCGGACCACATTGCCCAGCAGACCCCTCGTCCCGGGGCCGGCGCTCGCGCGGTGCATTATGGTATTCGTAGTCCTCAGGCCTTCGATGTCGGCCCGCCGTGTCGCACCAGGAACTCGCCTTCCCAGCTTGCCGCGCGCGGCCGGGGATGCAGCTCGGCGACCAGGAAACGGGAAAGATGGCGGCTGCTCGGCGACGTTGAGGCCGCGTTGGGCGGTTCAGACTCAAGAGTGGTGAGTCCCGAGCGTTGGAGGCGGTCCCCACGAGCTTGCAGAGAGGGCGAGAGTGGGGGCACGGCGGTGGCCCCTGCCTCCGGGACGAGGCGGGGAAGGACGCTTCAGGGTAGAGGCGCGAGCCCGGAGAGCTCTGGCGGGCTGGAGCGAAGGGGCGCGGGCCCCGGGGCGGAGTATTGGCTCCTGGGGACACAGGCCGGGTCCCTGGACGATGTTACGGGCCAGACCTCTGCCCATGAGCGCGGCCCCTATGATACCCTCTATCCGAGCTTATCCTTCATGTTTCGAGTAGCCCTTGCTCCAGCCAGACCGGAACTTTGGCTTTTCTCCCAGAATCAGTCATGCTTTCCCGCCTCTGCGCTTCCGTATTATTTCTTTTGCTGGGAATGACTTTTCCGCGCCCTCAATTACACATCTTCCAATTCTACCTGCACTGAAATGCTCAAGAGCCACTTCCTCCACAGATCTTTCCAAATCCCCTTTTGTAAATGAAAGGAAACTTCTTTGAATTCCTATAACCCTCCATCTGAGCCTTCGTCTTGGTAAGTACCTGGTACCCTCTATTGTTCTGTAACCTTCCTGTGGACGGGATCTTCCTGATTTATTTCCTTTTGTAACTCAACACGACATCCAGCACAGTGCCTTGCATATAGTAGATGCTTGTTAACTACCTAATTAGGTAAGAGAAAGAATCTGCCCCCCTTATCCTACAAGACCTGAGGAACCCAGAGACCGGGAGGTTTGCAAGGAAGGCTGCTGGGAAGGGATGACCCCGGCGGGCCTGCTTATCAGGCCCTTGTGAGAAGTGTAACCTATAATAAAAGTTGCCTGTATTTACTGTTTCTTTTATTCTCACTTCTCATTCTCTTCTAAACTCACTGCACTCAGGCTTCTACTTTCTCCAGGCCATCAAAACAGCTCTCGTCAAGGTCACCAACAATCTTAATTTTTCCAAATGCAGGGGTCAGTCCTCTATCTCCTAGTCTTTTTCTGCTTGAAAAAGTTGATCACTCTCCCCCACCCCCCCAACACACTTTTGGCTTCTGTGATGTCAACACTTACTTTTTTTTCTGCTTTCTTAACAGCTTTTGCTGCTGCTGCTGCTGCTTCTTCTTCTTCTTCTTCTTCTTCTTCTTCTTCTTCTTCTTC